GTTAGAGTATGTAGGTGAGAGGGGGATTATTTCCCAGTAAAAGTAGGCCTTAGACAGGGATGTGTGATGTCACCATGGTTGTTCAATATATTTATAGATGGAGTTGTAAGAGAAGTGAATGTTCAGGTGTTGGCAAGAGGTGTGAGGTTAAAAGAAAAAGAATCTAACACAAAGTGAGAGTTGTCAGTGTTGCTCTTTGCTGAAGACACTGTAGTTTTGGGAGATTCTGAAGAGAAGTTGCAGAAGTTGGTTGATGAGTTTGGTAGGGTATGTAAAAGAAGGAAATTAAAAGTGAATATAGGAAAGAGTAAGGTGATGAGGATAAAAAAAAATAGGTGATGAAAGATTGGATATCAGATTGGAAGGAGAGAGTATGGAGGAGGTGAATGTATTCAGATATCTAGGAGTGGATGTGTCAGCAGATGTTTCTATGAAAGATGAGGTGAATCATAGAACTGATGAGGGGAAAAAGGTGAGTGGTGCACTGAGGAGTCTGTGGAGACAAAGAACTTTATCCATGAAAACAAAGAGGGGAATGTATGAGAACATAGTTATACCAATGCTCTTGTATGGGTGTGAGGCTTGGGTGGTGAATGTTGCAATAGAGAGAAGGCTGGAGGCAGTGGAGATGTCATGTCTTAGGGCAATGTGTGGTGTGAATATAATGCAGAGAATCCATAGTTTGGAGATTAGGAGAAGGTGCAGGATTACCAAAACTATTATCTAGAGGACTGAGGAGGGGTTATCAAGATGGTTTGGACATGTAGAGAGGTTAGAACGAAAGATAAGATAAGATAAGATTTCGTTCGGATTTTTAACCCCGGAGGATTAGCCACCCAGGATAACCCAAGAAAGTCAGTGCATCATCGAGGACTGTCTAACTTATTTCCATTGGGGTCCTTAATCTTGTCCCCCAGGATGCGACCCACACCAGTCGACTAACACCCAGGTACCTATTTGCTGCTAGGTGAACAGGACAACAGGTGTAAGGAAACGTGTCGAAATGTTTCCACCCGCCGGGAATCGAACCCGGGCCCTCCGTGTGTGAAGCGGGAGCTTTAGCCACCAGGCCACCGGGCCACCAACGAAACAGAATGACTTCAAGTGTATAAATCTGTAGTGGAGGGAAGGTGGGGTAGGGGTCGGCCCAGGAAAGGTTGGAGGGAGGAGGTAAAAGAGGTTTTGTGTGCGAGGGGCTTGGACTTCCAGCAAGTGTGTTAGAAAGGAGCAAATGGAGACAAATGGTGTTTAGGATTTGTCATGCTGTTGGAGTGTAAGCAAGGTAACATTTATGAAGGGATTCAGGGAAACAAGCAGGCTGGACTTGATTTCTGGAGATAGGAAGTACAGTGCCAGCACTCTGAAGGAGGGGTGTTAATGTTGCAGTTTTATAACTGTAGTGTAAGCATGCCTCTGGCAAGACAGTGATGGAGTGAATGATGATGAAAGTTTTTGTTTTTCAAGCCACCCTGCCTTGGTGGGAAATGGCCGATGTGTTAATAATAAAAAATAGTACCAAACCTCTTTCAATACATAATTCAATTAAAGGCCCCCCCCATTTTCATTTTCCCCTGGCACCCCAAACTTACCTATTACTCCCTCCACAACAGTTTTACCCACTTTAACATTTAGATCCCCCACCACAAGTACTCTCTCAGTTGGTTCAAAAACTCCCCACACACTCACTCAACATCTCCCAAAATCTCTCTCTCTCCTCTACACTTCTCTCTTTTCCAGGTGCATAAACACTTACTTTTTTTTTTTTTAACAAGTCGGCGGTCTCCCACCAAGGCAGGGTGACCCAAAAAAAAAAAAGAAAATCCCCCCCCCCAAAAAAAATACTTTTACCATCATTCACTTTCACCTCACGCACACATAATCAGTGTTTCTGCAGAGGTGCTCAGAATACAACAGTTTAGAAGCATATACGTATAAAGATACACAACATATCCCTCCAAACTGTCAATATTCCAAACCCCTCCTTTAAAGTGCAGGCACTGTACTTCCCATTTCCAGAACTCAAGTCCAGCTATATAAAAATAACCGGTTTCCCTGAACCCCTTCACTAAATATTACCCTGCTCACACTCCAACAGCTCATCAGGTTCCAAAAACCATTCGTCTCCATTCACTCCTATGTAACACGCTCATGCACGCTTGCTGGAAGTCCAAGCCCCTCGCCCACAAAACCTCCTTTACCCCCTCCCTCCAACCTTTTTGAGGACGACCCCTACCCCGCCTTCCCCTACAGATTTATACACTCTCCATGTTATTCTACGTTGATCCATTCTCTCTAAATGACCAAACCACTTCAACAACCCCTCTTCAGCCCTCTGACTAATACTTTTAGTAACTCTACACCTTTTCCTAATTTCCACACTCTGAATTCTCTGCATAATATTTACACCACACATTGCCCTTAGGACATCTCCACTGCCTCCGACCGCCTCCTCGCTGCAGCATTTACAACCCAAGCTTCATACCCATATATGAGTGCTGGTACCACTATACTTTCATACATTCCCTTCTTTGCCTCCATAGATAACGTTTTTTTGCTTCTACATATCTCTCAACGCTCCACTCACTTTTTTTCCTTCATCAATTTTATGATTAACCTCATCCTTCATAAATCCATCCGCTGACACATCAACTCCCAAATATCTGAAAACATTCACTTCTTCCATATTCCTCCTCTCCAATATGATATCCAATTTTTCTTTATCTAAATCATTTGATACCCTCACCACCTTACTCTTTTCTATGTTCACTTTCAACTTTCTACCTTTACACACACTACACATTCTCTCTTTTCCTGCCATAACCGATCCAACCTTATTGCTACTCCTTCCTTAACTCTAACTCTATTTGAAACCCTGACCTAATCCCATTTATTTCTTCCCACCGAAACTCTCCTACCCCCTTCAGCTTTGTTTCATTTAGAGCCAGAACATCCAGCTTCTTTTCATTCATAACATCCATAGCACGTTAAGAGACCATACAATAAGTGTCAGGGGCCCGAGACTGTTCAACTGCCTCCCAGCACACATAAGGGGGATTACCAACAGACCCCTGGCAGTCTTCAAGCTGGCACTGGACAAGCACCTAAAGTCAGTTCCGGATCAGCCGGGCTGTGGCTCGTACGTTGGTTTGCGTGCAGCCAGCAGCAACAGCCTGGTTGATCAGGCTCTGATCCACCAGGAGGCCTGGTCACAGACCGGGCCGCGGGGGCGTTGACCCCCGGAACTCTCTCCAGGTAAACTCCAGGTATCCTCCACTGCATAAGCCTTATAGGTAAGGCTTGGAAGGGAGTGACTTCCAGGACTTTGAACTCTGCTTGGAGAAAACTGTGGCCAGATTGTGTCCATGAGAGGGATTTTGAAAAGTTTGAGGCTGACCCTGACCCTGACCCTGCCAACCCTGTGACACTGGGAAAGTCCCTGGGATTGGAGGTAAGTGGCAAGGGTGTGGAAGAGTTGGTGGAGTACCACAGGGAAGAGCTAACCACTGAAGAGCTGCAAGAGCTTCAACTTGAACAGCAACAGACTGCAGCTGAGGAACTTGCTTTAGAGGAGGGGGAAGAGAGAGTGAAGGAGGTGCCTTCTTCATTGATTAAGAACATTTGTGCAAAGTGGAATAATGTGCAAAGTTTTGTTGAGAAGTACCACCCTGACAAAGCCAAAACAAGCCATCTCTGCAACATGTTTAGTGACAAAACCCTGTCCCACTTCAGGGAAATCTGAAAGAGATGCCGGAAACAGAGCACTCTGGACAGTTATTTTGAGTGACAGGGGTCCAGTGACTCTCAAGCTGGTCCTAGTGGCATTAAAAGACAAAGAAGGGAAGTAACCCCAGAGAAGGCTTTGTTGCCTAAAGTCTTTATGGAGGGGGATTCCCCTTCCAAACACTAACTCCTCCCTCTTTCCTCCTCCCTATCTTTCAGAAGCCAGCATTAGCCTTCAATAAAGGTATATAATATTTATATAATTATAATTTTTTTTTTTGTGAATATTTTTGTCTGGAACAGATTAATTGTATTTACATTAATTATTATGGGAAATATTATTTCGGTTTTCAGCCGACCTTCTGGAACGGATTACGGCCGATAACCGAGGGTCCACTATTTTTTTTAACACACTAGCCATCTCCTACTGAGGCAGGGTGACCCAAATAAGAAATGCTTTCACCATCACTTACACTATCAGTCTTGCTACAGATGTGCAGATACAACAGTTTAGATATCCCTCTAAACAGTAAATGTCCCAAACCCCTCCTTTAAAGTGCAGGCACTGTATTTCCCACCTTCAGGACTCAGGTCTGGCTAACCAATTATCATGAAACCCTTCAGAAAATATTACCTTGCTCACACTCCAACAGCTCATCAAGTCCCAAAAACCATTTGTCTCCAATCCTATCTAAAATACTCACACATGCTTGCTGGATGTCCAAGCCCCCTTGCACACAAAACCTCCTTCACACCTTCCCTTCATCCTTTCCCAGGACAACTCCTACACTGCCTTTCTTCCACCACAGATTTATACACATTCCAAGTCATCCAATTTTGCTCCATCTGGTTAGATGGATTTGAGTCCTGGAGGTGGGATCTATAGTGCCTGCATTCTGAAGGAAGGGTGAGGATATTTGCAGTTTTCAATTGCAAATATCCCCATCACTGTCTTGCCAATCTGGCAAGATAGTGATGGTTAAAGTGTTTCTTCTATTTTAGGTCACCGTACCTCTGTGGAAGATGGCTGGTTTGTTAAAAAAAAAATATTATTTAGGTTATAGATTATTTTTTTAAAAGGCAAGAACATGTACACAATAAAACATATTAAATGAGTTTACGAATCTCCTACAGCTCATCTGAAGCTGGACACGAGCCAAGAATAAAGCAGGTATCTCCCCCTCTGGACGGACACACTAAGATGCTGGAACATGGTAAGTGTAACAAATACCTTTTAATGTTGAAGGGAACATTACATGTAAGCAAAAAAAAAGAAAAAATGCAATGAAACTAACTATATATTTCAACTACCACCTGGGGTCCTCATCAGCAGTATATACATTAGAGGAAGGAGGGCAATTTATACAGGGGTGACATGTCCAGTGAAAAGCTACAATAGGACTACTGGGCACACCATTGGATCATTTATGAAGCTAAAATTTTGAGAAGTCTATAAAAAAAGTTGAACAAATATAAAGTTGAGAGGGTTACATTTGAGAAGTACCTGCAAAACATGGGCCAGTAGGCATAATGCATTGCTCTTACACAATGCATTTGTCAACATATAACAATGGTCAGCATAATGCATTGCTCTTACATAATGCATTGGTCAGCATAATGCATTGCTTACATAATGCATTGGTCAGCATAATACATTCCTTTTACATAATGCATTGGTCAGCATAATACATTCCTCTTACATAATGCATTGCTTGAGTATTTCTGCTTTATGATACATACTGTACAGCCTATGCACAACACAGAATGAGTAAGCCAACTGCTATTTCTGGGAGATAATAAGGAAAATGTAGGTAGTAGGTTGGTAGACAGCAACCGCCCAGGGAGGTCCTACCGTCCTGCCAGGTGAGTGTAAAACGAAAGCCTGTAATTGTTTTACATGATGGTAGGATTGCTGGTGTCTTTTTTTCCGTTTCATAAACATACAAGATTTCAGGTACATCTTGCTACTTCTACTTACACTTAGGTCACTCTACACATACATGTACAAGCATATATATACATACTCCTCTGGGTTTTCTTCTATTTTCTTTCTAGTTCTTGTTCTTGTCTATTTCCTCTTATCTCCATGGGGAAGTGGAGCAGAATTCTTCCTCCTTAAGCCATGCGTGTTGTAAGAGGCGACTAAAATGCCGGGAGCAAGGGGCTAGTAACCCCTTCTCCTGTATATATAACTAAATTTAAAAGGCGAAACTTTCGTTTTTCCTTTTGGGCCACCCTACCTCAGTGGGATATGGCTGGTGCATTGAAAGAAAGAAGAATAAGGAAAATAATACACTTATTGTGGTCACTCAGCTAGCTGGATCATGTCATGTGCATGGCTAAACATAAACAAAGATGCTTATCTACTGATGGCATTGTCAGGTCATACTATGTAACCTAACTAAATGTAACTTAACCTAACCAAACCAAACATAACAATCTTACCTAACCAATAATAACTCAAAAGAATGCCACAGTAAGAATTATCATGGCAATCCAATGCAAGACAAAACACACCCCCACTCTTCAAAGACCTTAACCTACTCAACGTACAGAACATCCATACTTACTACTGTGCAACCTACATTTACAGAACCATAAATTCTAATATTAACCATGAACTGAAATGCTTTCTTGACGGTTGCAACAGGACACACAGACAATACCAGACACAAAAGTCTCTATGACATTCCCCGTGTCTGGCTAAACTTCTACAAAATTTCAATGTACATAAAAGGGGCCTAAAATCTGGAACTCCCTGCCTGAAAACTCTAGAACCATAGACTCAACCACCATTTTTAAAATCCCTGTTAAAAAACATATCTCCCTAACACACCCCATCATCAGCTAACCAAATGAAAACCACCTAATTTTCTTTTTGTATCACGAATACATCCAAAACAATATAGTCTTACTTTCGTTATCTATAATTCCCCCCTAATTTACACTTACACCCACCTAAATGACTGTAAACATAAAATTCCTAATATAGCCATTGCCTATTAAATCTTAAGTTAGTCCTAAGTTTGCCTAAGATAATTAGGTATGTATCTAATTATGTATGTATCTAATAATATATGTTCAAACATACTGCGTGTTTGATAGGAGTGAATGGAGACAAATGGTTTTTAATACTTGACGTGCTGTTGGAGTGTGAGCAAAGTAACATTTATGAAGGGGTTCAAGGAAACTGGCAGGCCGGACTTGAGTCCTGGAGATGGGAAGTACAGTGCCTGCACTCTGAAGGAGGGGTGTTAATGTTGCAGTTTAAAAACTGTAGTGTAAAGCACCTTCTGGCAAGACAGTGATGGAGTGAATGATGGTGAAAGTTTTTCTTTTTCGGACCACCCTGCCTTGGTGGGAATCGGCCAGTGTGTTAATAAAATAAAAATAATTAGAAATGCCTAGGCATGCTAGTGGCCTTCTTTGTAATTAATATTTTATAACATGTAAACCACACATTGTAAGCTTTACAAGGAAATAAAGCATCTGATTTTATTTTATTTTGACATTCAGCTGGCGTATGACACAATTCAGCACATACTAAGCATTAATTGGTCAAGACATGCTGTGCAACCAAACTAAATGTACTATTTTTGCTAATATCTCCCAAAATAACAATCTGCACAAGAGATATTTACTAATTCCATGATGTACATAGGCTGTATGAACAGGCTTTTAAAAAGCTTTTAAAATTCTGGACAAAATCCACTGGTTAAACTATACTTTTAACCTCTTTATTTTCAATGTTTATTGCATCATATCTGTAAATTGTGTGTGCAGTTCTACATTAGCTATATACTAGATTAATTTAGTGCAATTTTTGCTATTTTTTTAACATTCTTACATAACAGACATACTGACAATCCCCCTTTTAATCCATTACATCAAGGGTTTGCTGTATTATAAATTGTAAACTATAAAGAATAAAAAGGCACAAAACTATGATTGGAGCAATACACAAATAACCCACACATATGAGAAAGAAACTAATGATGAGTTTTTGCCCCTATGTGTGGGTTGAGTAAATTGTAAAATAATGCTCAAATTCCAAGTATTAGTCAGTAACCATGGCCATTTTATTTGCTAGTGATACAGAGGCAATTTCTTTCTCATCTAGACATAATTATACTATATGTATTGGAAACGAATAATAAAATCAAAGTTGTTTAGTAATTTTAGTACATATATTTTCTATTTTACAAATAGAAAATAAATTTTGGTGCTGAAAATTTATCTTAGTAGATAGTACACTGTATTAACTAATTTGTTTACCTACATTGCCAATATATTTTAATTATTTTACTATTTAAGTGATGCCTTTACAATGCCTAGCATCATAGCAATGACAGTAAAGCCCTGTGCAAAAACACGGAATCTCATCATATTCTGGGAAGTTTTGCGTTGACCTGAACTAAAACTCCACAGACCATAGCAAAGGGCTGCTGTTGTTAATCCACATCCTGTAAAAAAAAGTTATTAACAGAGAAAATTATACAAACTCCCAAAATGTAATCTACCAGACATTTTAATGAGAATTATAAAAAAAATTTACATCTAGAAAAACAAAATATTGTACAGTAGAACCTCGGCTTATGAATTTAATCCATTCTATGACCTTGTTCATATCCTGATTTGTTCGTATGCCGAGTCAATTTTCCTCATTTAAATTAATTGAAATGCAATTAATCCGTTCCAGCCTCTCAGGAGGCATGACAAAATAATGCTAATATCAACTCTACAGCTTAGTTATCTATCACAATTCATCTAATGTGACATAATAAATAATATTAATAAAATAGAAACATGATATATACTCTAGAATGCATAAAATAGGCCATAATATGGCAAGTGATGGCGACGCTGGCAGCGGCAGAAAGCATCTGCCGTTTACCCTCCCACTCTAGTATCTTCCCAGTCCATAACCCGACACCTAGCTTGTGTTTATCTATGATTAGTGGTGAGGTTGTCACATATGTAACCGCAGGTGTGGTCAAGATAGATGTATATATAGGTGAAGACATGATCACTATGGCCACAGTGGTGGTGGTGGTGGCGGCAGCGGCCAGCTGCCTCACCCTATGCTAGTGCCTTCTTCATTTCTCTAGCTTTTTTCATAGTTTCTAATCACTTCCTGAGCTTCTTGCTGATTGTATGCAAATACTGTCTCTTTGGGCGAGGCATCGTGTAAGAAATTTGTACAATAGTATAAGACAAATTTATGCATCCCAAGGGTCTGCTACGGTCACTCAGAGCGGCACACCTCTTCTTTTTGACCCTTGGTTGGCACTGCGATAGCAATGGTCTAGCAGTACCTACAGCCACCCAGAGGGTTACCAATTTGTATTTTGAAGCATTCGGCACAAAAATATGAAAAAAATAACGAAAAATGTCTAAAAATGACAACATATTATTATTATTATTACTATTATATTGTATGTATTTTTATTATTATTATTATTATTATTATTATTATTATTATTAATACATACATATAATTATTATTAATGCATAATTATAATTACTATTATTATCATTAATTTAGGGAACTGGAGCACAGATCCAATTCCCTAGATCAAGAGCCCATCACCATGTACATACCAATAATAATAATTATTATAACAACAACAACAATAATAATAATAATGATTATAATAATACAATAATAATAATAATAATAAACAACAGTAAGGAGAAACTTTAAAAGGCTGCCAGTAGTTGGTGCCACCATCAGCAAAACATTGGTAGCCACTACTAGTACACTTTTCACCTGTCTAGACTTAGTAGTCTATTAGTATTAGGTTAAGTCTGCCCAAAATGCCTCGAGCATGATAGAGGCTTTCTTTGCTCCAATCATATTATGATATGTAAACACACACTGTAACCTTTGCAAATAAATAAATATTTTATTATTTATTTATTTAACCCTTTCAGGGTCCAAGGCCAAAATCAGAAGGGGTGCCCCAGTGTCCAAGAAATTTTGAAAAAAAAAAAAAAAAAAAAAAAAAATATTTTTTTTCTTACAGAATTAAAGAGTATATTTTTGTGAAGGTAATAAAACAAAAAAAAAATTCTGATCAGTACTTACCAAGATACAGTGCCGAGAAGTTGACCCAAAATGACCAGGTGGTGGCAACATTGATGATTTCCATGTACGCGCATTACTTTATTTTACGTTTTTTATAGTTTTTTCTTTTTTTCTAATTTTTTTCTTTTCCTACTAACATTTAGGGCCTGAGTAACCAATACTGTATATAATGTACACCTACCATCCAACATACAACCTGCTCGACTTACGACCACTCGACTTACGACCGTGTTTTTTATGCCAAATTTCTGGGAAATAAACAACTATTTGTGTTGTACACAGCGTTTATCCTAAACCTTACAGTATAAAATACAGTACTAACAGCATAAAAAGTAAAGTAAAACATGAAATACCAAAATAAAACAATAAAATAAAGTCATTACAAAAATGTGATGTTGATATTCAGTAGTAAAATTCGACTTACGTCCATTTCGACTTACGACTGTTTTCTCGGAATGGAACTCAGTCGTAAGTCGGATGGTAGGTGTATATATATATAAACTTGCTGTAATGAACACAATAACCGCACTAAAGTTATTATCATATTATTGTTTACCACTTTTGTTTATTACAATAAACATGCACAAATCTTGTATAATACTAATGTTCTATCATATATTTACATATTTACAATCACTGGACATGTTTTTAGAACTGCTGGAGCTTGTGGAACTCCTTGAAACAAGGCACCATGCACAGAGGTACCGTACATTCCTCGCACATAAACCGAGTGTCTTTGCGTCTTTGTTGCCGTCGTTTTGTTTGTGCACAGACAATGCATCTCTTCTGAGCAAATTTCTTCTTGGTTGCAGGAAGCTGTATTATGAAATGATCACCTTCCCTCCTCAAACGCTTGGGTATATCCTGAGGAGTTCGAGGACGGTTTTGTATAGCAGGTGTTGTTACCTGGTATTTCATTATGAGTTGTCTGACAACAGACAAACAAAATTCACCATATGGTGGTCTGTTGCCAGTCTTCACTTGGAACATATTATATGCATTGAGCATTGAAATGTCCATGAGATGGAAGAAAAGTTTCATGTACCACTTGTAACTTTTACAAACACAATCAACAAAGCCAATCTGCATATCACATTTGTCAACCAAGCGCATGTTTTGTGTAAAATCAATCACTGTCACTGGTTTTCGAATACGTTCATTAGTCATTCTATCAACTTTGCCACTGTCTTGCATTTTGTTACGGTGAATGGTCGTCAACAATGTGACATCTCGTTTGTCATGCCACCGTAATGCCATGATGTCATTGGCAGTAAACGCCTGCACCTCATCACCATGAGCACCTGCATTGAACCTGGGCATATATTTACGATTAGAACGCACTGTGCCACACACATCTGTCTTATTCACTCACAAGCAATCACTGAGTAAAGGGCTTGTGTACCAGTTATCGGTATATAATGTATGCCCCTTACCAAGATAAGGTGCCATCATGCTTCTCACTATGTCAACTGAGATACCCAAAAACATCCTGGTATCTTTTAATGTTTTACTTCCCGTGTATACAACAATATCCAATACCAGGCCACTGTCACAGTCACAGAGTACAAACAGCTTTATACCAAAGCGTTTCCTCTTGCTCGGTATATACTGCTTGAATGACAGTCTACCTTTGAACAAAATAAAAAATTCATCAAGTACAAGATTCTTGAATGGATAAAAGTACATGCTGAACTTTTCTTTCAGATACATAAAAACATTTCTAATCTTGTATAACCTGTCACTTCTGTCAGGCCTGATTTTGTCAGAGAAGTGCAACATATGTAACAGTAAGATAAACCTGTTCACTGGGATGATTTCACTGAAGACCGGGGTAGAAATTAGCCGATCTGTGGACCAGTATGCTTTTATATTATGCTTATAGACATGAGGCATAAGCATTATTGTTGCAAAAAGCAAATACATTTCTGCAACAGTCGTCTCTTTCCACTGGTGTAGTCTTGACTGTGGTGATATCATCGTATTTGCCATGGTGTACTCAAAATACTTGTTACTTTCCCTGACAATAGTTTCCATCAAGGGCTGGTCAAAGAACAGTTCAAAAAATTCCAGTTCATTGGCAGTGGTTCCAAGGGGACAAGTAGGTAGAATTCCACTTTCAGAGTCATCAAAGTGGTGGGGCTTGGGAACAAAATTGGGATTTTGCTGCCAATCCCACATACGGTTTGCTGGTGGATACTGAACATCATAGACTGGTTGTGCTGGTAGTTGTGGTTGTGGTGGGCTGGTGGCTGATGCTCCGCTTTGTCCTTGAACTGAGGAGTCAGCAGCGTGATTCCCAGCCTGGGCTGATGAGTCATGCATGGCCGTGGCACTACCATCACCACTACCACCACCTACTGATGCCTGTGGTCTATCCATGCCAAGTGTAGCCACATCATCCTCACTTTCAGTCTGTTCCTGGTGTAGGGCCATGGGATGTACTCTGGGATGTACTCCAGGATGTACTCTGGGATGTACTCCGGGATGTACTCCGTCCCCTGGGCACTGCATAGGGAACACTACCCGAGCGCAAGTGGCGGCGTATATACCGACGCTTCACTGGTGAATATGCTGCCTCGCTATCACTACTCAAATGATCGTCAAGAGCAATAAAATCACAATCCACTTCACTATCATCATCATTACTGAAGTCACAGGCCTGGCCACGCGAAAATAATAGTTTTCTCTTGCAATGAGGTACAACTGACCATAACTGAGGAGTGCCCAAACCAGAGGCAGAAGGTTGAGGATCGTCAGGGTTTTCTGAACTATTATCGATATCCTGGTCATTCCTTTCGGTCACTAACTGATCAAAGCCAAAGAATTCGTCTTCATTTCCACTTCCATCAGAGTCAGAACTATCAGATAGGAAGAGGAGAGTCCCAATTTTCCTTGGAGTGAGAGCTGCCTTGCGACGAGGCATGGTGAACAAAGGTAACTGAGCCGGCGTTCCCACAAAGCTATGCGGGAGCCTAGAATTTTTGTTTACGGCATACACACACCACGCAGACCCATTATCTCACATGTAGGCCTACCAGCGTTTTTACGCTAAATTTGACGGTGCTAGAATTTTGGCGTAGATCTACGGTTTGGACCCTGAACGTAAAGCCGTAGATCTACAGCACGGACCCTGAAAGGGTTAAGGAACCTCCCTTGAGGGGGAAATTCACATCCTGAAATTTTGTCCGTGTGTAGAAGCAAAAAATCAACCAAATGACAGTTCGTATCCTGAAAAATTTGCATGGTGGAGCACTCGTAAGCCGAGATTCCACTGTATCTGTACATTTTAAGGATATTTATTGTACAACAACAGAAAGACATTTTTTTCCCAGTAAGGAGACACACATCAGTTATATGGTATCTTGATTAAGAATT